GCGAATGCTCTAGTATTTACTAGATATAGGGTAGTCGGGTATATATAAGAGGGGGAAAACGTGACGCGGGAAGATATAATGTAATGTGTGTGTAGACAGTGAGTAATTGAACTGCAGTCAAAGAGCACGAGAGACGTTACAGCGTTTGTTTAGCGCGATTGTTGAAGTTGAGTGTATCGGTAAAGTTATATTCGGAAAGAATAAACCAGTTTTTATTAAGAAAGAACTTGTGTCGCTTAAGTTTCTTCGGAACGAAGTTACGGAAAATCAGTTAACAAACGGAGACGTAACAATATATATCTAAATGAAAGAAATACTTCTTGAGATAAAAATCTAATCAGTTTGCTCTAACTGTAGCAGAAAAGTAACATAACATATCAACCACAAGTCACCATGTGCTTCTTGAAGGCTGTCCCTACACACTCACAACAAAGAAAAAATATAAACTTAAACCCATTCTTCATTTTTTTTTCACGAAATTTCCGCCTGCCCCTTCAAACTCTTATAAAGTGCCAGCTTCCACTACTGGCTTTAGTTATGTATCTATGTTGAAGTTCAAAACTAATACCGACAGGTCATTCTCATGTGCACAGATTTACATTTTGAATAGTAAGTGTAAGTATCAGTAAGAACGACTAGGAAATCTATTGTTACGTCTCCGTTCGTTAATTAACTTTCCGTAACTTCGTTCCGACGAAACATTAGTGACACAAATCCTTACTTAATAAAACTGGTTTATTCTTTCCGAATACAACTTTACGATACACTTATTTTCAATAATCACGCTAAAACAAACGCTATATCAACGAACGTCAACAATACTTCTGACTGCAGTTCAATTACTCACTATCTACACACACATTACCTTTTCCCTCTTTTATATACCAGCCTACCCTATATCTAGTAAACGCTAGAGCATTCGCCAAGGTACAGGATAGTTCTAGAAACATGGCGTCACACTAGTCATGTGACTTCGCTTACGCAACACTATAATAGAGTTTTATTTTAATCCTTTGATTAACCGAGTTTGAAAAATGGAAAAGCCAAGCCTGTAGTAAAATGTAAACCAATCTTAATTCGTTTCACAAAAGCAATTAAAGTAAACGAGTGCACGAAATGATATATAACAATTCTATTGGCGATCATCTGGCTCTAGTTTAGATCTATTCCACACTAAAGACTTGATTGTTTAATAATACGTTCTAGACTAGGAGAGCATAGAATTATGTACAATATTCTAGAATATTTTCCAAAGGAGGATATACGGTTTGGCAAAAGTGGAGAAGGGTGGAAAAATGGCTGCCTCTATGTTGTGTTTAACATTTCTTTCTTTCTTTTCAATAAACATATTTATTTCTTAAGGATATAACGCCTTAATCTTGAGCTTTCCCACGAAATAAATACTATCCGATCTTTTACTATTGTTACGTCTCTGTCTGTTAGTTAATTTTCCGTAAATTCGTTCCGACAAAACTTTAGCGACACAAATCCTTTCTTAAATAAAACTGGGTTATTTATCCCGAATACAACTTTACGATACACTTAATTTCAACAGTCGCTC